TAGTCCTGGAGGTCAGAAGCCTAAAATAGGCTTCATGGAGCTAAACCCAGGCGTGGGCAGGGCTGGTCCTTCCGGACGCTCCGGGGAGAACAATTTCCTGCCTTTTCCAGCTTCTAGAGGTGCCACATCCCTGGCTCATGGCCCCTCCCTCTGTCCTCACGGCCAGCGGTGCAGCCTCTCCCACCTCTGACTCTGACCCTCCCGCCGTCCTCTGTCTCAGGGTCCTTAACCTAATTCATCTGTAGAGTCCCTTCTTGCCAAGGAAGCCACTCAAGGGCAAGTCATGTCATCTCTGTCTCATTCACAGAAGGGTATCCACGGCCTAGCACATGGCCCGGCACATAGTAGGTGTTCAGGAAATGCTTAATAAAGAGCAGAGCTGGGGCTCAAACCCAAGCCGGGTGATCGTTCCTGGGCACCCTGACTGTCAGAGCCCCCTACTCACAGCCCTGGGCCAAGAGAGCCCCCTCGGCTGTCCTATCACAGGCTCCAGGGACTTGAATGTGGACATGTTTGGGGGCATGATTATGCCCACCCCCTTAGCCCCATAGCGGTCATGGCTCAAAAGGGGTCAACATAGAGGATTTGGGCAAAGCCTTGGCATTGGAGGGACCTCAGTTTCCCCATCTGTAAAATGGGTATCAATCATATGCCTTGAGTCAGGAGTGCCGGAAAGTTTCACTCAACCATTTAACACCAAACATTCAACAGTGAACAAAACAAGCACGGCCCTTTTCCATGGGCAGGGCGATGGACGTTAAACATCAAAAGAAAGCAGCAACACTGACGGGATGGAGTGTGTTGAGGGTGAGGGGTTACAGCAAAGGGGGGGGAAGGGTGTTCCAGGAAATGGGAGCAGCAGTGCCAAGGCCTTGAAGCAGGTCGGTGCCTGGTGTCTCTGAGGACAAAGGAGGGAACGAGAGACTGGTCTGGGTAGAAATAGCTGAAGGGTTCTTAGAAGACGTGGGGCTGCAGCCTCGGCAAAGGTCAGGAGTTGACCACCTAGTGCAGAGGAATGGAGCGGGCCAAGGGCAGCCGGTGGGCAGAGCGGAGGGAAGCAAGGTGGGCTCCCAAGGCCCCAGCGTTTCGAGGCCACGGGAAGCCAAAGGAGGGCTGTGAGCTGAACGCGCCTGCCAGAGGCGGAAGCCCAACCTGGTGTTTAGGAGCCAGCCTGCCTGCATTCAAATCCCAGCTCCCAGCTCCGCTGCTCTCAGCTGGGTGACCTTGGTCAAGTCACCTCCCCACTCTGGGCCATTATGGAAAAAATGGTAGCGCCAACACCACAGACCTGTGTGAGGGTGAAATGAGCAAATCTCTGACAAGCCCTGGGTTCGGAGCACAGGGAGTGGGCAGAGCCAAAGGAAGGCCCGTACTCTTTGACACAAAACCGCCCCCTAAAGATTCTGCACACCCTCGTCTCTCCGCCAGTGTTTTATTTCCTTCGACGACCTGTGCCTGTGTTCCAGGGGGGAATCTTCCTATTGACAGGAAGTGACTGCCACTGCCTGAGCTTGATTGCACCACCACCCACCCCAGGATCCACTCTCAACGGGCGGGGGGGGGGCGTGGAGTGGGGAGGGTGGGGGGGGAGGTGGGAGTGCAAAAGCTCCAGCGGGGGGGAGGGTGGGGGGGCAGCAATCATCATGGTGCCCTTTGCACAGAGCACCTCAGTCGTTGCAAACAATCTAATAAAAAAAAGCACTGCTTTCCTGAGGAATCGGAGAGAGGTGTTTTGTATTAGGGTTTTGTGTCTCATTTGAAGAAAAAGTACACAATAAAATCATGTTTTCCTTGGGCCCTGGTCCTGGGGTCAAGCCGGAGAGAAGTGCCCCAACAGGAAATGCTGTCTTGTTGGGCGGGGTCTTCAACCCCCTGAGTCTCAGATTTTCTCTTGCAGGGCACTTCCCAGGTCTTCTCTCCTGCTGTCACGTGTCATTGTCCTTCTGGTCTCCCCTCAGGGTCTGCCTTGCACGCAGTGGGGACACAGAAATGCCGGTTCGATGCAGCTGAGTCCCGCGGGGGCGGTGGAGAGACGGGAGGCAGGTCCAACCCCACGCTTGTTCAGGTGTCTGTTCCCTCAGTGAATTCTGACCAAGCCCCGGCCTGGGGCGCCAGGGTGGCTTCCCCATCCCCAGGAGGGTGGCCTGGCTGAGCTCCCACACCGTCCCCGCCCTTGTGCTGGCCTCTGCCCCCACACATCCAGGGCTCCAGCCACAGCTACTAGTCTTCCTTCCACCTCCCGCCCCCCAGCTGTCTCTACTGTCTCCTCCCTGCCGGGGCTGGAGTGGGGGGCTGGGCGAGACACCACATGTCCTCAGTGCCCCACCCGGGTTTCTGGGCAGCTAGAGGGAGACAGGTTATGACCACATTGGTCCTGGAAGGCATTTCCAGGGAGGGCTATGGTGACTGTCGCAGTGCCTGGACTCTGCCTCAATGGGCCTTGCTGTGGTCATCGTGGAAATCCTTCATTCATTCAGCCAACTCTGGCCCAGTGCCCCCTTGAGATCCGTTCAAACAAGGCTGAGCCCTGACTCTAGGCTCTGATGCTAGATCCTGCTCTACACTGAGCCTCAGTTTCCACATCCATCTCCAGGGGGACTGTACCCCTCCCAGTCCCGCCACCTCTAAATCCTAAACCCAACCCTGACATCCCACTTCGGGGCCTGGCTCCACTGAACCACACCGGCTTGGCCAGATCCAAGAGGGCAAGCAGGGGTCCTGCTCTACCTTCTCTCTTCAGAACCCTAAGGACTGGGGGCTTCCCTGGGCCCCGGGCAGCAAGTGAAAGGTCTAGGGTTAAGGCCCTGGCGGTGGATGGGTCTCAGACACTCTAGTCTCCGAGGCCCTGCCGGGTGCTCCATCTCCTGCCCAGCAGGAACTACATTAGCCGCTCAAAACCCATTCGTGGAAATTAGAGCATAGGTCTCTTCGACAATCATGGGTCATTCTCATTTCCAGTTCCCAGGCTCTCCTGCAGAGATGACAACCCAGCAGCGGGTCTGGGGGAGGATGCAGGGGGACTAGGGGGTTCCCAGCCGGCCGACTGCAGCCTGAGGACTTCTCCAAGTCAGCCAGAGAAATAAAAGTGCAATCATTGGGGGGATTTAAGGGAGCCATTTCTCTGCTCCAGCACCTTCTATGGCTCTCAGCTGCCAAACACTTCAATCCAAACGGTTCAGCCTGGCAAGCAACAGCAAGTCATGGCAGCACTAGGAAAGAGGACTGATTTGCCAGCTCTTCATCTCTCTCTTCACAGATTTTATGGGTTTCTTGCACGTCCTCCATTCTCGGAAGCTCACAAGGCAAAGGAAGGCCAGGTTTTCACTTAATTCAGAAGTATGTAGACTTCAGGAATGGTTTGATCCAGCATTCCAATTGGCCATCAAGCATCAAAGTTCACTTTCTCTTCTGACATCTAGTCTCAGCCTCTTCCCAAAACTCTCTAAGTTTTTCCACCTCCAGGTTTTTGGTCACACCCGCTGGATTGTTCTACCCCTCCTAAGCATCCTCTTCTTCTCCCCCTGCACCCCCATTTCTTGGTCCAAATGTCATTCCCACAGGTAGCACAGCAGTGGAATCCCTGGAGGGAGAGGTCAGGAAGTTGACTACTATCCAAGCCAAGACTTCTCCAGCCCCTGCTGCTGCCAGAGGGCTCTTGCTCCAATGCCACCTCCTCTAAAAAAACCCCTGTAACTTTCATGTGAACTTCACTGGGCCATGGGGTGCGCAGCATTTGAGTCAGCAGACTGAGTAAAGCATATGCCCTCCTGCCCCCACCCTGCAATGCGGATGGGCCTTATCCAATTTGTTGAGGGCCTGAACAGAACAAAAAGGCGGAGGAAGGGAGAATTCGCTCTCTGCCTGACTTCTTGAGCTGGGACATCTGTCTTCTGCCCTTAGGCCGGGACTTGTTCCATAAGCTTTCCTGGGTCTCCCACTTGCGGACTACGGATCGTAAGGAATCTCGGTTTTCATTACCATGTAAGCCAATTCCTTATAACAAATCTATATACATACATATGTATGTGTGTGTGTCTCTGGAGGACCCTGGCTAATCCACACTCCATGACTTCCTGCCCTAACCGCCTGCCCCAGCCACTGCCCCTTTTATTTGCTTCGCTGACCTCAGAAACTGCTTTTCTCATTTACCTATTGAATATTTACTTTCCAGCTCTCTTTCCCCACCAACTAGAACTTAAACCACGTGGGGTAGGTGTTCCCTCCATCTTGGTGGCTGGATCCCCAGTACTTGGAATGATGTTTGCTATACAGTAGGTGCTCAGTATATACTGGCTGACTTGAATCATTGACTCCAGGATCTCTTTAGCCCTTTGGGAAGGCGGGGAAGGGACCCAGAGGCCCATGTTGTGGTAGAAGAAACCAAACAGTCAGTTTTGCCCCAAATCATCACGGCAGCACCACCGCAGCAGACATGGGGTCTCTGCCAGCACGGCAAAGCCGGTTCCTTCAGGCTCTGGAGTAACCAGGACCCAGGGCTCAGAAGCAACAATAGGGAGGACCTTTCACTTGCTGCCCTTTATGAATTCTTCTAAAGCAGGATCTCTCTGCTGGTACTGCTGCCACTGGGGCTGGGTCACTCTCTGCAGGGGGCTGCCCCAGGCACTGTGGGATGTTGAGCAGCATCCATGGCCAGACAAGGCCAGGAGCTCCCCCTGGGGGGCAGAATCATCCCTGGTTGAGACCCACTGCCCTGCAGAGCTGGCTCCTTGCTCACCTCCCTTCTCCCCGCACTGAGTACACACCCACAGCGCTCACAGGCCGCACTGGGAAGACCCTGGGAGCTCATGCGCTCCAGGCTGGGCCTGGCCCAGCCCACCCAGCACAGCCAGACCCAGAGAAATTGGATTAACTCGGAGAAGCTTGCCAAGACGATCCGTCATGCCATCTGAAGGACAGCGTATTGATCTCCACATTGCAAAAAAATTAAATGATATCCCTTTTTGTTATTTAAAACGCTGCTTAAGCAATTCTGTAATGGAACAGCCCGGCCCGGGTCCAGGAGCTCCCTGGGTGGCAGCAGCCTCTGCAGACCTGGTGCAGGACAAGGGCTGTGGACGCGCCGTCGTCCCCCGGGTGACTGATGACTCCGGAGAACAGCGCCACTTTGCCGGCAACGCACACAGCTTTGATTTATTAAAGGCATAACAATTATGAAAACAGCTGATTTATAATCAACTGTTCCAGGCCTAATTGATTTCTGGGGTGAAATTTAGAAGGGGAGGTACTGACACCTTGAGGACAGGGTCGCCGGCCTTGGGTGGGCTGTGACAGGGTGGCTGGTGGGGCTGGTGTGTGTGTGGGACAAAGGATGGGAGGACAGCGGCCCAGTCTGGCTGTGCTCTTTGTCACCTCGTGAGGCGCTGGGCTTCGGGCCAGCTTTAACCTGGAGGGTCCAGCCTCAGTGGTGGCTGCCATTTCCAGACGCTGGAGACAGGCCCTGGCTGCAGCAGAGGGGCGTGTGCCCCAGCACCAACGCATCCCTCAGTGTGCCCCATGTTTGGAGTCCTCGCTGTCGCATCCAGAAGAGCGGTGAGAACCGGGCATCGTGTGCGTAAAGGAGTCTGCCCACGGTATCCAGAATCTTCTGTTCCTCCGGAGAGAGTCCCAAGTGAGGGTCGCCAAGCCTGGTCAATAAAAATACAGGAGGTCCAGTTAAGTCTGAGTTTCAGACACACAGAAAATGAATTTTTAGTATAAGTATATCCCATACAATATTTGGGATATATTTATGCTAGAAAAATTATGCCTGGTTAATATGAAATTCTAATTGAACTGGGCATTTTGTATTTCACGTGACAATCCCACCGGGCCAGTCAGGACCCCAGCTCCCAACAGCCCCAGCTCTCAACCCCTGATGAGGAGGCTGAGGCAGAGGCTACTCGGCACCTGCCCAAGGTCGTAGGGCAGCTGACTTCAGATTCAGTCCTGACCCTGAGGCCTGAGGCTTTCAAGCCCTTCAGGACCCCACACTGCTTCAGAGGGAAGAGACAACAGCTTTTCTTTCTACACGGGGATAGCTTAGACTGGTTTAGGGGACCAGGTCTGTGAGCTGTGGTTTCAAACTGCCCCGGTTCAGCCTTATTATTATTGCTGTGTGACTTTTACAAAAGCTTTGCCTCTCTGGGCCTCCACCTCCAGCACTGTAAAAGAGGCAGCTCCGTCACAGGGGGCTGGGGAGGAGAAACCGATGTGTGGGCTCCCTGCTGGGGTTTCCAGAGTACTACCCAGGGCAGAGGGGAAGAGAGGCAGAATCAGAGACAGGAAGGCAGAGAGTCAACGCAAAGAGACAAAGAGAGAGCACAGAGGAAGACAGACGCGTCCCCTTTGGAAGTGGGGTGGCCGCAGAGGGTGGAAACCAAATTTGCAAACCAGAGGGTTTCAGTGGTGCCTCTAAGGCAGGGAGAGAGCAAACAAGAAGCCAGGATTTGGAGTGCAAGGCCCGGCAGCTGCGGGTGCCCAGTCCCCGTGACGGCCCTGCTGAGCACTTTTAAGTTATCGTTAAAGATAAAATAATTTTTCCCCCTCTGAGCCGTGTGATTGATGCGGTAATGGGCCCCGCCGACAGAGAGAAGGTCAGGCTGGAATGTAATCAGTTTTTTCCAGAGCGATGCATAAACAGGGTGGCATGGTGGCTGGGAAAGGGAGAGGGACTGGCAACTGCCCCCGAACCCTCTGCACTCTCAGTGGAAGGGCATGATGAGATGATGAAAACAGTGGGGACCCGGGGGCACTTTCTGGAGGGGGTGTGGCTCCAGCTAGGGTTGGAAAGAGACGGCCTCACAGGCAGGGAGCACTGCAGAAGCGAGGTGTGGAGGTGGATGTCGCTTTACACCCTGGCCCCACCTAATCTCCACACCTCACTGCATAGTTCCAAGCCTCAAACCTTCCATGGCTCCCAGCCACCCATCCCGCCTAAGGGTTCTACTCCTGACTCTCCCTCCGATTAGCCGTGTTATCTTAAGTATGTCACTTCCCCACCCAGCCTCAGTCTTCTCTTCTGTAAAACAGGTGATTGTTACTTCTGCACTCCATGGATATAGTGAGAGTTTAAAGAAAGGGACAGCAGTATCAGCACTTATGGCTGCAAGCAGCGAGAAACCCCAAGTTAACTTGCTTCAACATTAAGAAACATTTTTTCATCTTATACAACAAATCATTAAGACCTTTACTCCAAAGTACATCTTCCAAGAGCCTTCACCGATCAATCTGCCTACTCTCTGCCTTTACTCCCCTTCATTTTCCTCCCAAGCATTCATCACCTCCTCACACTATGTATTTGTTCCTGACCTACTCTTTCCTCCTCCAAATGTCAGCTCCCTGAGGGCAAAAATTTTTATCTGCTCCGTTAGCATGTTCCCAGTGCCATGCAGAAGGTGCTCATTAAAAATGCTTGTTAAATAAATGGATGTCTTGTTCATCCAGGAATGATTGATTTAGCTACTCAAGAACATAGTCCTGCCTCTTCCTCAATATGTCTACCATGTTGCTCAGCACGGTCCAAAATGATTGCCAAACCTCCAACCATCATATCCTTGTTCTAGCAGCAGGAAGGGAGAAGGGTGGAAGGACAAAACAGGCTTTCTCCAGTGGACTATCTTCTTTATAAAGTCTTTCCAGAATATCACTGGCCAGTACTCAGTCACATGGTCACTCCTAGAGAGCTAGCTGCAAGGGAGTCTGAGAAATGTAGTCTTTAACAGAGTGCCATCCAGCAGATGTTCTGCAAGTGAGGAAGACTGGGAGAATGGATGATAGGAGGAAGGAAATAATGGACATACAACCGACTCCCACATCTGCCAGTGCCACTTACTACCTGAATTAGTTTCCTGTAGCTGCCATAAGAAATTCCCACCAACTTAGTGAGACACTCAGTAAAACAATATACACTGAGTATCTGACAATTCTGCAGTCTGAAGTCCAACAAGGGTTTCACTGAACCTAAGTCAAGCTGTGGGTAGGGCTGGTCCCTTTCAGAAGCTCCAGGGGAGAACCATTTCCTGCCTTTTCCATCTTCTCCAGGGGCCTGCATCCTTGGCTCAGGGCCCCTTCCTCCAGCTTCACAGCCAGCAATAGCCGCTCAAGTCCTCTGATGCTGCCGTCTCTCTGCTTCTCCCTGTACGTTCTTCTCCTTCCATTTTCAGAACCCTTGGGATTGCACTGGGTCCACTGGGACTGGGACTCTCCATGACCATCTCTTAACGTCAGCTGACTAGAAACCTTCATTGCATCTGCCCCCCTAATTCCCTTTTGCCATGTAACCTAACACTTTCGTCATGGGCTCTGGGAATTACGACCTTCACCCTCACTGGCCTCCCTGACTCCTCCTCACAACCTCCGTGAGGAAGAAAATACTGCTGGACTCACTGCCCAGATAAGAACATGGGGGTCCCGCAGAGATGGGGTAACTTGTGAAGCATCCCCCTAGTCTCATAAATTCCAAAAGCCGGAATTTGAACCCATGCACATGTGAATGCGAAGCCCATGCCTCCTTTACCCACTGTGCTGTGTGTGCCCTTACTGTTGTTGTGGCCACTACTTGGCCTGTGCCTGCTCTGTCCACACCACCTCCACAATTCAAGCTCAAGCCAACTCTCTAAAGAAGGGGGTTACCAAGGAGAGCACGGAGGAACGGGAGCTTGAAGGGCATTCCAAGGTCACCCGGTGGGTGGCAGAGCCAGAGCTTGAAACCAGGTCTGCCTGGCTACGGACCGCTGCTCTTCCTGCCTCCAGGGGGGAAGCTGACTCAGCGGGGTGGGGGTGGGGGTCATGGAGGACCCTGCTTGGGTTATTTGGCAGTTCGAGGGGCTCACTAGGCCCTTTTTCTTTCTGGAAGGGACTGGAGCATGGCAGTCAATCAAGGGGAAGCAGGCCAAGTGCTGAGTCTGCAACGCAACACATCTCCACAAAAGCCACCAGGCACTTGGCCACAGAGGTCCAGGACTCTGCCTGTGATCAATCTCTCCCCATCTCCCTCACCGGGCCCTCGGTCCCTCCCTCTCCCAGTCTGTGCCCAGCTTTCTGGTGCAAAGGAGGGCCTGAAAGACTCATCCAGGGGGAAGAGCTGGGCCGGGCTTCCCCAGGCATAGAAGGTCAGCCTGTCCATCACAGAAGTGCTCAGAAGCAGGATCCACCAGCCAGAGAGAGTAGAGGGTAGGAGCACAATCCATGGGGTCTGGGGGCCTTGTTCCCATCTCAGGCCCTCCCCTAATACCAGGCCAGCTAACTAATCTTGCTGTGCCTCGGTTTCTTCATCTGCATAATGGGTTTGAGAAAAAGACTCCATCGTAGGGCTGATGCAAGGTTTATGGGAACTGTGACAAGTACCTCAGACACTGACCATAGATAAATCCTGTGTTGATTCATAGGAGGTTTCCCAGTTGTCCAGTGAGGCTTCCTTGAAGAAGCCACATTTGATCTGAGCCTGAAAATACGGGGAGAATGTGGAGGGACTGACAGAGGGGAGGCTGGGCAGTGAGTCAGTTCAGGTGGGGGAAGAAGATAAGCATGTGGGTGCTTAGAAGGAAAAACTGAGGCCCAGGGAGGTTCACTGACTCACCGAGGGCAGCAGGACAGGTGAGTTCCCGGGCTGGGATTTGAACCACCTTTAACCACCCTGCAGGAGGGGCTTCTACCTGTAGCACAAATCTCCAGTCCCAAAGCTACTCACTCTGCTCCTCTCACCCTAGACACCTCCCAGGTCTCCCCCAGCAGCCAGGACCAGCAGAGACAGGTCTGCAGTTAGAGAAGTTCTGCTGATCACACACACGCACACATACATCACCGGCTTGGTGCCTGTTATGAGCTGAATTGTGTCCCCCACTACCCGCTCCCCCCACCAAATTCATAGGTTGAAGTCCTAACCCCTAGGACCTTCGGATGTGACTGGATTTGGAGATGGGGCCTTTAAAGAGGTAATTGAGTTAAAGTCAAATCATATAGGTGGGCCCTAATCTAATATGACCAGTTCCCTTAGAATAAGAGGAAGTTAGGACACAGATAAGCACAGAGCCGAGTGCGCGAGGACACAGGGAGAAGACAACCATTTATAAGCCAAGGAGAGAGGCCTCAGATGAAACCAGTCCTGCTGATGCCTTGTCTCAGACTTGTCTCCAGCCTCCAGAATTGTGAGCAAATAAATTTCTGTTGCTCGAGCCACCAAGTTGTGGTGCTTTGTCACAGCCCTGGCACACTCATACGGTGCCGTGAGACCAGCCTCACCAAATCTGGGTCTTTCATAGTCAGGACTCTGGTCTGCAAGTGACAAAACAACAGCAGCAGCAACAACAACAGTGACAAGAACAACACCTGATCAGATCAGCTTAAGCGAAAAGGGAGCTATTGCAACAAAATATATGGCTGCAGGCACAGTTCCACCCAGGTGCTCAAACCACACCAAGATCATTTGCTTTCCTCTCGATGAGCTCTTTTCATGGAAAGATGCTTCCTGCATGGTGATCAGAGAGCTGGTAGGAAGCCTGGGTTTCCACCAGCTCAGTCTCCCCCACAACAGAATTTCCTACATATATCCAACGCTTGTTCAGGACATCGCTCTGACTGAACCAACTTGGGTTATGGTGGGTGACCCTGAGCCAACTGCTGAAGCCAGAGGTTCGGCATCCTCTGACTGCCCCACCCTGGGTATCTTTGGTTTGGCTTCTACTAAGTGCCCAGTGGGACTCCACTGAGTGTCTTTTTCTGCCTTTAAATCTCCCTTGGGGCCATCTCAACTTGTCAGAAAGAATCTCAGGAGAGAAGGAAACAAAATTTCCATCCCTTTGCTTGGAGAGTTCCAGCTCATTTCCATCGGCCTGCTCTGCACATTGAGGAGTATAGAGAGAAGTGTATCAGCCAGCTATTGCTGTGTAACAAACTGCCACAATTGTAACCACTTAAAACAACACCTGATTATTATCTTACCATTTCTGTGGGACAGAGTCCAGACATGGTTCAGCTGGTCCTCCACTCTAGGATTCCTCGAAAGGCTGTAATCAAGGTGTCAGCTGGGCCTCCATCATCTCCAGGTTCTGCTTCCCGCTGTTCAGAGAAGGTGACCACGAAAGAAAGCCCAGCTGTCCCAGCCAACAGCCAGCTGACCCCTAAACATGAGAGCCCAGCCCAAATTCTCAGAGTGGCCTCCCCAACCCCAAGTGGAGTGCAAAGGCAGGACCAAGCCTGCTCGAGCCTAGAAGGATCGTCAGCAAAAATAAGTGCATAGTGCTTTCAGCCAAAGGATTTGGGGCTGGTTTCGAAGATCCGATCTGCTACAGCAACGTCATCCCTGTTCCCCATGACGATGGGTGCCCTGAATACAAAGGAAACCAGGAGGAATTGCTCACTGGGGTCTCCCTGAATAAAGAAGTTCTGCTTCGCAGAGTTTAGCTGCCCCCACTCTACAAAGGAAAGGTGGCTGGCAGCTCCCCCTGATTAAAAAATGTGAAGTTCCCCTTCCCCGGCATCCCAGTGCCCTCCCTTTCCGTCCACCTTCTCGGGGGGCTCAGGGGCAAGGGAATGCTCTTCCAGGCCTTCAGGCTGGACTAGGGACTAGCTGGGGACTCTTGGGTTCCCTTTGCTGCCACGATCAGGACCACCGTGTCATCCTAGCCCCAGCTGCTTTCCGTGAGTTTCTCTTAGGATTTGCTGGCCTTTTCTTTCCAACAGCCAAGGCCAGCTCAAGAAGCAGGAACAGCACACAGTGGGTGGAGGATGGCAGGCCTGGCTTCAGGAAGCCTCAGAGCAAAGCACTGGCAGATAGGGAGCCAGACGACTTGTGTTCTGGACTTGGCCATAACCTTGGAATGCTTGGTACGTGGGTGACGGCTCCAGCCACTGCCGGCACTGCGGGCCTGTCCCAGTGCATCCGTTCTCATCGGTCAGTGGCACAGCTGTGCCTGTGATGAAACTTGTTTAATATCACCCCAGAAAGCAAGGGTTATTTTTTAAATCCTCACCTGAGAATGTTTTTATTGATTTTAGACAAAGGAAGGAGGAGAGAGAGAGAGATAAAGAAACATCAATTGGTTGCTTCTCATATATACACCCCGACGGGGGATGGAACCCAATACCTAGGTATGCGCCCTGACCAGGAATCAAACCTGCAGCCTCTTGGGGTGCAGGACGATGCTCCAACCAACTCAGCCACCTGGCAGGGCAGAAACCAAGGGTTCTCAGCCGAATAGTTCAGTGGTTACTAGCATAAACGCCAGAGTTAGACTTGAGTAGAAAGCTTAGAAAAAGGAGAGGGGTAAATAAATGATGGGCCGATGGGCCGGCCACCAGGAGTCCCTCGCAACTGTATAAAAGAACAAGGAACGTCACGGAGGTATCACCATGATCCTTTGTTAGGATGAAAAAGCGAGAGTAATGGATAGAGCTTCTGCTTGGGATGATGGAACACAGTTCTGAGGACGGACGGTGGGGGCGGCTGCACCGCAGTGTGAGTGGACTTAACGCCACTGAGCTGAGCACCGAGACAGGACTCAGACAGTAAATTCTATGTATTGGACCACAATTTAAAAGCGGGGGAGGGGCGCGGCGGCGAGCAGAAGGAAAGGCTTTGCCTCTCACAAGGTGATCCCATCTTGCGCTTCCCGCCATGTAGTCCCTCACGGGAGGCTAGAAGCAGCGTCAGGAGCCAGTTGAGAGGAACTGAGGTCCTGGGAGGGTGAGGAGTTACCCAGAACCACGCAGCAAGGAGGGTGCACAGCCAGAACTGGAGAGTCTCCGAAGGGACCACAGTGAAGATGGTCCCCTACGATCCCTCTCCGGGGAGTGGCTAATTTTGCTTAAGCTCCTGGCAGGGGAGGCAGGATGAGAAGGAAGCATCCTCTCTTCTTGCCGAGCCTGGGGAATTCCTCCCCCCCCCCCCCCCCAGAGGCGCCAGCTGGTGAGGACGTCCCTGTTAAGTCCCCAATCACGAGATTAGGTGATTTCATTATTGTCTGCAAAGCTCTAGGGAGGGCTCCTGCTTACAGATAATCACCCGTGATACCGGGTGAGGGTCTCAGCTTTGAGGGTCCCTGAAGCTGCTCAGAGGGTGGGGCCTAGGAGTTGGGGCCAGAGGGGTGCTGGGAAACGTCTCTGTCCATCGCCCCTGTGTGCAGAGGGGGCTCAAGAGACAGAGAAGGGGGGACCCACGGTCACACAGGCAAAGAGGCATGAGATACTCAAAGCCGTCCATGGGAAACCTGAGTCAGTGCCCTCCCCCTCTGTCCACTGCCCTCCAGGGCTCCAACCTCCTTCAGGGTAAAAGCCCAGGTCCTCCAGCCCCCACGGCCCTGCACGGCCTGCCTCTGTCCCCTTCCTGCCCTCACCTCCTGGCTCTGTCCTCCTCACTGTCTCCATCCCAGCCCCGGGCACTTAGCAAGTGCTCAGAAAAAAATGAAGGATCCAATGCCGAATCAATGGGCTCCTCGAACATCTACCACTTCTTCTTGGATTCCTCTCTGGATGAGGAGCCCACTACCTGCCAACGTCTTCCATTTAACCTGAGCTGTTCTGGTCATTAACAAGGTCCTCGGCAAACTCTGGGCTGAGTTTTGGGCTCTGAAGTGAGTGAGTGAGTGTGTGTGTGTGTGTGTGTGTGTGTGTGTGTGTGTGTTGAAAGTTGGAAGAGTGAAATGAGGTCCTGGGGACATTTCTGGAATCTCTGCAGGGGTCACTGGAACACTTTAACAGCCGGGGTGGGGTGTGGGCAGCGGGGCAGCTGCCTCTCTCTCTCAATTGGTCTCCATTTCTCTTCTCTTCTGTCTCTGTGTTTCTGTCTCTGGGTCCCCGTGCTGTTCAAAGTCACACGGACACAGACAGCTTCTCAGCCCTGAAAGAAAATTGCCAGCTACCCCAGCAGCAGAATAATTGAATCGGCAGGTGGCCAGGATTGAATCAAGTGAAGGGGTAAAGAGGGGAGGGGTGGCCGCATCCCTGGGAACCTGGGGCCCTCATCGGGGAGACGTGCTGAACGGTGGGCAGCGGAGCTCAGGGGTGAGGGGTGAGGGGCTCCGAAACTGCATGGGCAGGCCCAGCTGCACACCCCCCACCCCTGCCAGACAATCTGAGCCCTGCAGAAAGAGCTGGAGGTCTGGGGCTATGCCCACCCCCAAAGCAAGTCCTCAGAGCCACTAGCAGGGCAGGGATGGGAGCTTCGCCAAGGTCCACTGCCAGGACCTTGTCCTCCAGCCCCCAAGTCCTCCTCTCGTCAAGGCGAAGCTCCACTACCCATTACCCATTCATCCACACATTTCCTCATCCCCCCACCCTCCTATAGCCCCCATCCATCCTTCCATCCATCCGCCCACCCACTCATCCCCCCACCCTTTCATCGGTCTCTCACCCACCTAACCACTCGTCCATCCCCCCATTCCCCTCCCACCCACCCATCCATTCACCCATCCCCCCACCTGTGCACCCACTGGTCAATCACTCAAACACTCACAAGCTCCCACTGAGCGCCCCTCTCTGTGCTGGATGCAGTAGACGTCGGGATAAAAATGACTGCCAAGGCTCCTGTTCCACCGGAGCTCAGTGTCCAGTTGGGAAGGTAAGAGTTGAGCCACTGGACAAACAGCTCGATCACTGGCATTGTTCCATTTCCTTAAGACACGTTCAGGCTGCTCTGGGATGTAAATGGAAGAGAGTGGCGGTTGGGTTGGGAGGCCGTGGAAGGGCTTCAAGGGGAACAGTGTGACAGACAGAAGGAACAGCATGTGCAAAGGAGGGGCAGCTGTCTGGTGTCTGACTCGAAGGCGGGTGTCCACAGGAGGTGCAGGAATGGGTTTCAGGAAGTGACAAGAAGGCAATGGGGACAGAAGGTCCGGCCAGAGAGGTGAGAGGGAAACTGAGGTGGGTGGTCTGGAAGGCCTTTGCCCAGATGAAGTATGGGAGTTGGCGGGGGTCCCGTCTCCCAGTCCAGGCTCCCACAAGTGACCTCTCTGTCCCTTCCTCCTGTGGGACAGCTGCCAGGGCCCTGAAAACCTTGAGGGCAGCCCTTTCAGCCCCTGGTTTCTGATCCCAGCCCTGGCAACTTGCTGGCCAAGCCACGTACCTCATCTAGCAGCCTCTATGTTCTCAGCTGTGAAATGGGAACAGTTCAGCCCTTCCATGAGGCTGTGGGGAAGTGCTGAGGCTAAGACGACCACAAGAAGTTATTATGCCCTCTATACCATGGCTGCTGTGGGCTCCGGGTCCCTGAATAAATCATTCATTCATTCATTCATTCACCCACTCATTCATTTAACGAATGTTTATTGAGGGTCCAGATACTGATGATACAGCTGTGAGCAAAACAAACGCAATTCCTCTGTCCTCAAGGTGCTGCTGTTAAAACAGAGCGATACAGAGAATAAGAACACACGTGTGCCTGATTTGAATTTCAGGAAGCAGTCAGAATTATAGACCAAAGAAAGGGGACAGAAATGTTCTAGGAACAAGCCTCTTGGCTGGGGCCGTCAGGAAAGGCTTCCTGAAGGTGGTGACATGTGAGCTGAGACTGCAGGGTGAAGAGAGGGGTCTGGCAAAGAGGTTTGGGAAAAGCATTCCAGGCAGTGGGAACAGCAAGCGCAAAGGCCCAGAAGCAGGACCAAGTTTGGCATTTAAGGAATCAGCTCCTTTTTGTGGCTGGAGCAGAGTGAAGGAGGGGCTAAACAGTCTATGCTCCCTGACCACCCATCCCTGGCAGTCCCCGCCCCCTTGTCCTGCTTGCTTGTCCTCCACTGAGCTCTATACCGTGGGCCACGCTATATATTCTCCTATTTATGGTGCCTGTTTTCTCTCTCTGTCAGCTTCATAAAGATGGGGACTCCTTCCGGCTGGCCTGCCTGTTCGCTGCTCTGTTCCCAAAGCCTAGAGCAGTGCCTGGCTCACGGGAGACAGTCTGCGTGATTTTGAATGAACAAATAAATGAATAAATGAATGAACACTTGAACAGCCATCATTCCCCACAGAAAGGCCAGGTGCGGAGGCAATCAGAGCCTCCGGTCACTTCAAGAGTTCCCTTTAGGAGGTCAGAGCTGAGATGTGGGGTCAGGGCCTCCCTTGATTACTGAGGTTCTGATTAACTCTGGGGCCGAGAGGGCCACCCGCTTGGAGGAATTAGAGATCAGTCTGCATCCACAAGTTCGAGCAGCAACTCTAACGGGGCAGTCAGCGGCTCCCCCTCTCCCCTCAGCAGCCAGCTGGCCGGGGAGGCGGGAGCGGAAAGAGGTCATTTGCATAGGCAGGTAATTGGTTTTGCAAATAAATCTGGTTCTTGAAATTTGTAGATTAGCAATAATACGTCTCCAGATGAGAGAGAAAGGTCACGGATGAATAAAACAACAATTAAACTTTCGGGAGATTATTAAACTAAACAGAAGCCTGGCACAGGGCGGCCGAGGGAGTGTGGAGGGAGGCGGGGGTGCTGGAGGCGGTCTAGGCTGGGGGCAAATGCAGCCCCCCCGGGTGCTGGCTGATGTCCTCACCGTCCTGCCTCCTGTAGGCACCTTCTGCTCTGGGAACAATGGACATTCTGTGTAAAACACCCAGGACGGCTTTTAGGATCCCATTTCTAAGAGAAAACTAAGGTCCGGTGAGGGAGAGGAAGGTGTCGAAGGCCTCACGAGGCAGGATTTGAACCCCAGCCCGCCAGCCTTGCACTGTCCTGGGTGGCGGTGAGCCTCCCGTAATGGCGGTCAGGGAGTCAGGAGGGTGGAATCCGCCCCTTGCCTGCTCTTGGCTGTCTGAGCAGGACCGTACCTGTCCCACTGTGCCTCTAGGATCGAGGCTGAGAGCATTGTGCGTGTGCTCTGAAATCTGCAAATGTGTCCGTATGTGTATGGCCATCCAGTGCGACTCAGTAGCTATGCATCAGGCACTGTGCCCGGCACGAGCGAGGTGCTGCTTCGGTCAACCCAGGCTCTGTGGCTGCAAGCACCAGAAATTCACTCCAGGAAACATGGACAGAATGAACATTTGTAGGAAACTCTCCCCTGAAAGAGAGAGGAGGAGAAAGAAGGCCAGCGATAGAAAGGAAGTGGGAACTCAGCAGGCCACACAACCGTATTTTGCTGCCCACTAGCATGTGACCCTGGGCGAATCACCTTTCCCCCTCAGGACCTCAGTTTCCCCAGCTATAGGGTTTTAGAGAATGCTGTGCTAGGAAGAAGGGCAAGAATTGGGGAGGGAGGCCGTTTGCAATTTTAAACAAGATGTTCAGGGAAGGCCTCACTGAGGAAATGATACATGAGCAGAGAGCTGAAGAGAGGAGAGGGAGCCACGGAGAGATCTGGGAATAGAGCATTCCAGGCAGCGGGAACAGCCTGTGCAAAGGCCCTGGGGCAGGACTGTGCCTGTTGTGTTGAAAGAATAACAAGGAGGCCCCTGTGACTGGAGCGGAGTGAGCAAGGGGGAGAGCGGGAGGAGGTGAGGGCAGGGAGGGGACTGGGGCAGGAGAAGGAGAAGGAGAAGGGGAATTTCCTTCTGTTGTCACCAAAATGGTGACAAACGTCCACTCCTCCTTCCCAGCCCATTTGGTGGCAGAAGCTGTGGGTTGGCCCCCAATATTCACTCTCTACTTTCTCCTTTAAAAATAGAATCTGCCCAGCTGAAGACTGTGTTTCCCTCCCTGGCCGTGTGCTCAGTGGGTTGGAGCACCATCCCAATATGCCAGGATTTCAGGTTCGATCCCCGCTCTGGGCACATACAAAAGGCAACCAATGAGTACGTGAATAAATGGAACAATAAAATCAGTGTTTCTCTCTCTCAAAAAATCAATTTTTAAAAAAAGACTCCATTCTCCAACCCCTCTTGCAACCCGGAGTGACCATCGGACTGCATGGTGGGTGTGAGCGTAAATGGTGCATGTAACTTCCAGGTTGTACCCTCAGAAGATGAGAATGGGCCTTCCCCTACCCTTTCTCCTCTGCTCTCACGTAGAAGGTGGACCAACAAGATAAAAGAAGTCTAGGTCCCCAGGGATTGTGGAGCCTCCAGCCCAGCCTGGGATGAGGCCCAGACCCGGAGGCCGGAAAGCAGTGAGCTCCTCCCTCATTTAAGCAGTGGCTCTGTGATGCGAGAATCCTGATTTCATGGCAACACGGGTCTCAGACAACCAGGCTTGCAGCACTGTCGCCGCCCGCACTGCAGGCCCCAGACGTCCTCTGCCCTGCTAACACTCCTGCTGCAAACTGCCCGGCAGCACCCAGCCCCTCCTGATTGAATCTTGCCCTCTGAATCTGCCCTGGGCCTGTCCCCTCTCGCGCCAACCAAGCTGTACCACGCCAAATTTGGCGACTTACGGCCAGCCCAGAACGGTCCTCCTTGGCTCTCCCCTCAGGAAACTGCCCGTCTGAGGCGACCCACTGGTTCTTCAGCAGAATTAATCCATTTTCATGGCTGCCCATCCCCGCCTGCGTCCCCTCCTCCATCGTTTCCCCCTCCCTCTCCTTTCCAAATTTTGGCAGCTCCACTAGAACTAAGCTGGGTCCTTTCAACCTCTGAGTCCTATGTCTGTGGCGATTGTGTCAGGCAGAAAGGGGATCAGAGCAAGTGAGGGAGCTGGCTGGGTTACACAGCGGGCCCTCCTCTCAGTGGGGAGCCGAGGAAGGAGCCCAGTGGAGAGCGAGGATGGGCCATTGAATGTCCGGCCTGGGGACAGAGGACAGTGGGAACCCTCCGTGAATGTGCCCAGTATTATTCCCCCGGGAAATGCCTCTACCAAAGCTGGGTAACCTCACGCCCTCACTCACGCCACAAACACTGAGTGCCTGCTGTGCTCCTATTCCCAATGCTGGGACCAAAATACTTTTATCCTCTCTTGCTCAGAGCCCACAGGTTAGTGTCAGAGCCGGGAGATGCTGTGTAAGCTGAGCATGTGGAAGATGAAAAGGAGAAGGTAGGGAGATCCACAGCAGGAGCAGAGGCTGGGGCGGGGTGGGGAGTACTCGTGGGTTTCAGCCACAGAAAGACCTCCAGAGCAGGGGGAGGTGAAATCAGGCAGGTAATGGGGCAAAATGCGGGCTTGAGGTCAGGGGCAATGGGGAGCTAAGGCAGGCTTTAGAGCAAGCAAAGAGAGAGGAGGATCTGTGGAGTAGGGCCAGGAAGGGCCAGGCCTGGAAGTAGGTCCAGGTGGGCGAGAGCCCAGGACCTGGCTGTGCCTCACCCGCTGCATCCTCCTGCAACCTCGCTGTTCTGGAGTGAGCTGGAAGGGGAGTCGGGAGGGGGTACCTGGCAGCCAAAAGCCCTGCAGCTAATGAGCCCCGCGTGGTGCAGGCTATTTTTAGGAGCCGTTCCTCTGGACCCTTAATCGCTGCCGCGGGCTCCTGCCAGGCTGCCATGGAAATGCTCAACGCCACCGCCGGAACTCGGCCCTGGGTCCCAGCCCACGTTTCCTCCCCCCAGCCCGGAGCCAGGATGCTTGTGATACCCCCCACCCCGAACAGGCGGGGCCCCTGTGCTCTCCCGAACCGCACTGTGTGATCTAGGGGACCTTCTGCCTCTCTTTAAGCCTTAAAAAGTGAGCAGGGTCAGCGAGAGGCTGGAGGCTAAACCCCCAGTTCGAATCCTCACTGGGCTAGCCTCAAGGTCTAGTCCTCTGCATTGTCCTGACCCTTCTTGGAGTGTAGGTTTCTCATCTTTAAGTGGCTCATACCTCATACGGCCACGTGGACCAGGTTGCCTGGGGCTCAAAGCCAAGTGCCTGGCCCTAGTGATTTCAGCAACTTGTTGAGCACCTGCTGTATGCTAGGTATCGCCTTAAGTGTTCCATGCATTAATTTAATCCAGAGGCATTTTGCAGATGGGGCCATTGCTACAGAGAACTTTAGTGGTCTGCCTAAGATCACACAGCATGCAAGTGGTGGGGCCAGGATTAGAACCCAGGCCAGCTTGCTTTGGAATCTTAGCTCCAAACTGCACATACATCTAAACTTGAATTTGAAGGAGGTCGCACTTACCCCCAAGGAAATCCTCATGAGTGGTGGCCTCTCAAGCAGGGAGGGGACCTGATATTCTCCACCCCCCTTGCTGGACTGGAAGCCCCCCACGGTGACACTGAGGCATGGCTGGGGGCAGCAAGTCCCCAGTGCTCCGGAGCCCTGGGGCCTCGGTCTCAGTCACCAACCCAGGAGAGCTCTTATGGAGGGGCCATAGGCACATGGCACAGGGCAGCCTGCCAAGGACTGGTACCGACAGCTATTTTGGGCAGTGTCACTCGGGCAAGTTGACAGGGACAGGCTGAAGACACAAAGAAGGGGTCCAAGCTGGGGAGGGGAGAACAAAGCCCCGACCTGGGCCAGGACAGGGGCAGTGGAGCAGGAGGGAGGGCACAATGGACAAGACCATGCCACCTTGCTGCTCGGTGCCTCAGTTTCCCCACCTGTGTTGATCGTCACAGTCCCTGCCCCCTAGAGGCTATTGAACGGGTCAAAACGCTCATACAAGTTCTATCTGAACAGGCTCCTATTCAGCTTTATTTAACGTTTGGATATTTTGTTTCACGGGGACTTTCTTTTTTTTTTTTTTTTTGCATTCTTTAAAACGTGGATTCTTTAAAACGTGGCTGAAAATGGTATTCTCCTGCTGAGTTCGCTGTCACCTCCTTACGCTTGGCAGCCCTGGCAAGTGCCTCACTCACCTCACCCAGAATCCCAGCCCGGCCATAACCACATCAGTCGCCTGGGCAGGTGCCTGGCCAGGAGTGGCACTCTGGGATGACGGGGGCAGTAAATGTAGCTCGAGTTTCAGGAGGGCCAAAGCCACCAGCACCACCGAATGTCACATGGCTCTAAAGGTTGGTTATTGTTACTCACTATTAGGGGCTCACCATCTCTGGGTGGCCATGGTGGGTCCCCCCAACATGGTGGGCTCACTTGTGTCATCCCAGGTTATTATGATCAACCTTGACCCAGGAGAAAGGTGGAAAGGAGGCGTCCTGGTGGGGGACACACAGGTGCCAGGAGCTGGGGTCCCTGTGCCTCCTCCCCACACCCCGCTGGCCCCGCCCCGTGTCTGCATTTCCACCATCAGTGTTGCCTCCAAGACTGCACCCTAGGAGGAGGCGCTGCCAGACCCGCACTGCTGCCCTGAGCTGGGGGGCGGGGGGGAGAGGGACATAAACCCCAGTCCCCACTCACCCTTCCCCGCCACACCAGCAGCAGGAAGGGCTGGGGAAGGGAGGCCAAGTTTACCATGCCCCTCCCCCATCCTGGCTATAATTAGCCCGGAGATGAATTAAACATGAAGCCGACCTGTCTGGGGCAACTGCAATGTCTCTGACACTATAATTGTTCCCAGGCTGGAGGCAGAGGGTGGGACCGATGTGTGAGATCCGGGGTGGGGAGGACGACCGACCACCCACAGGCACGGGTGGGGACAGGGACGTGCAGAGCAGGCCCCCGGGTGTGTGCAAAATATACGTGTCTGCGGCAGGGGCCTGGGCGAGCGCGATCTCACGTGAGGCCAGGGGAGACAGAACCAGGAGGCCGGGCAGAGGAGCCTGGGGGGCCCTCGGTGGGAGGTTGTAAAGCCCCAGTTTGGAGGTTCACAGAGAAAGCCTCCTGCAGACATGTGCCCTGAGTTTTGAAGACCCAGGAGGATTCACACACGTAAAGGAAAGGCATTCCTGACGGAGGGAACCGCCTAGGCAAATGCTTAGAGAACCAAGGAAAAAAATCACAAATTGCAATCTCGCCTGAAACCCGAAGTGGCTTTCCTGTTTAGAACAGCCTTTGTGGGCTTCGCCAGCCAAGATCTCAAGTGGGAACCCACTCTGGTGTACACGGTGGGGCCCAGGAGTCAGGCGAGCTCTGGGAAAACGAGTGTAACAATAGCTTGTCAATCCCCAGAGCTATTGTGAGGACATGAGCTAAGAAGTGTGTGTAAACACTTGGCACATACTCAGCGCTCCCAGAGCAGCTGCTGTTACCACGGTTCCAGATAAGACCATGTAGATCATTTTTCAACAGTGACCCATTCAATCAATACATATCTCCTCAAATTTATACGCACAAGTATCCTACATACATATGGGTTTTCGTGGTAGCATGGAAAAGTGCATTTTTAAATAAATAAATTTTGTTGGAAAAGAATGGGGTAGGTTTAGAGAAAAAGACTTCTCTGCCTGTTCCTGGGCCCAGTAAATTAATCAGGAGGGGCTAATTAAGATTGGGTTTCCACTCCGGCCACTCACTGGCCTCCCTCCTGGCCTTCCTTCTCCCCCAGGACGGCCCAGCCTGGCCCGCCCCTGCCAGGGCCTTCCTGCTGTGAGCCCACGAGATCCCTGGACTTCATCATCTGGAATTAAGGTTTAATCAGAGATCTGCAGGGATGGGAGGGGAGGCTGTGCTGCAGGAAGGGCATCCCGGGCGCTGCGAGAGCCTGGAAGAGGGTGAGGCACGTGAGGCCGGGTGGAGCCAGTGCAGGGGCAGGTCCTGCCGATATTTGACACTTCGATACTTCATCCATTGTAGATATTTTTGCCTTCGGTGTTTTTTTTTTTAATTGTTGCATTAAAATAGTATTTATCCAGATGGCTGGATTTGGTGGGGCCTCCTTAAATGTTCCAGGCTCACGATCGCTCTTCTCACCTGATCCCCGTCCCAACTGCACATGGAATCAGCAACTCGAGCCTCTGAGATGGAAGCAACGTCCAAACCTGCAGAGAACTTTTATGAGTTTATTCGAGCCAAACTAATTACAATTGCCAGGAAGCGAAATCTCAAAGAACTGAGAAAAATGCTTCAGTGAATGACATTTTTGCAGCTTATTTTATACATTAGAATCAGAGGAGACATAAGGAGGGTTAACACAAATCCACTGGAGGTAGATTAGAGAGGCAGGAGAAAGCAAAATGGGCAAACCTCTGTGAGTGGATAAGAAGTAAAACGTGGAGACACGTACGTCCTGGACTTTGGTGGGCACAGGGAGTCACTGACCAGCGTGTGCAGCACAGAGATGGTGTCGGGCGGCAAGACAGCAAGGGGCTGTCCCTCAGTCTCCCGCTCTGGGGTGGTGGCTGTGCCCAGAGGGGTTTGGGAAAGATCACTCTGACCTTCCAAAGGTTTGTTTTCTTAGAAGCGAAAGGACAAGAGGCAGGCTCACTTAGGTCAAGACTGACCTTTGCCAAGGCAGCTACAGGCCTAAGACGTCACTACCAGCCATGACCTTCTTTTAGTTAGAAATGTTCGCTCTGACCCTCCCCTGTGGTTATTTTTGGTCTCTGAGCTTGTAAGTCCTGCCATGGGGGCCTCCCCTGGGCTTGTTGAGGTTTGTATGTGGCCCCCTTTTCATCCACAGCCTCAATCCTCTCCGAGGACGGTCAATTATTGGACCCATTTTATGGATGGGAAACTGAGGGCCAGAAGGGCAGGTCACTGGCCTCAAGTCAGTCGGCTAAGGGGAGGCAGAGGCAGGTTTAGAACCCTGGCTTGTCCTCAATTCAGAGACAATGCAACCAGCCTCCCCCAGCCCCTCAGAACCCTGGTCCTGGCTAAACCCACCTCCTATCACCCATCTAGGAAGAAAAGCCCAAGTCCTCCACACAGCCCTGCAGGGCCTGCCCCGCCCTGCCCTCCCTGCCTTTGTCTCTCCCCCTCCCTCACTCTGCTCAGCCACATGAGGGGCCTCCTTGCTGTTCCTCTAACAGGCCAGGCAGGGTCCTGCCTCAGGGTCTTTGCACTGGCTGTTCTCTCTACCTGGAACACTCTTTCCCATCATCTCTCACCTGAGTTCCCACCTTACTCAGGGTAAAAGCCCTAGTCCTTCTCACTGCCCTCAAAAGCAAGGAGGTCCACAGAGGGCTATGGACAGAAGAGGAATGGGACCTGACTCAGGTGCTCATGGATGCCCTCTAGTGGCTTCTGATGGGAGGATGGACTGTGGGGGATGAGGGTGGGAGCTGGGGCTGGGGGCCAGGACACTGCTCTGGTCCAGGCAAGTGATAATCATACACCCTAATTCTACACTGTCCAACATGGGAGCCATTGGCATTTAAAATGTTATAACATTAAGATGTTCTGTAAGTAAAAAATACATACCAGTTTCTAAAGACTTGGTATAAAAAATGTAAAATAGCTCATTAACAATTTGTATGTTGATTGCATGTTAAAATATTTTAAATGTGTTGAATCAAATAAAACATTAAAATTGATTTTACCTGCTTACTCTTACCTTTTCTTCTAGTGGCTAGCAGAAAGTTTTAAATTACACAGTAGACAGTGCTAGGCTGGCTGATGACGTTCGAGTTCTAAGATTCTGCCACCTTGGCACAGCCCACCGGGGGGTCCTGCGCCCCTGTGGGGGGTCAGGCAACCTGAAATCTGAAGGAAAAGGAAGCAGTTCAGACAAAGTGCCAGGTGGTCCTTTGTGGCCGTTGTCTTAGATGAATCCTCACAAACAGACCTCTGTTTGCTGTACGCCGTCTCGCCCCATCTAACGGAGAGAGACCTGCCCTGGGTTTGGGTTCTGCCCCTGCCCCTGACCTTACTTGATTCTGCTGGTGGTGGTAGGAGAGGAGGAATGAAGCCTCCAAGGTCACCTCGCCGTTTCCGCCACACTCTGCTGGCGCGGGGTGATTCCCCCCGAAAAACACATCCCGGCAGATGAGGATGTTCTCTCCTCTCACTTTCCAAAGGAGAAAACTGAGGCTCAGAGAGGGCAAGTGAGTCGCCGGCAGTGGCCCCGCAGAGCTAGGCTTTGCACCCAGCCAGCTCCACGTGGTGCCAGTGCCTTCTGGGACCTTCCCCGGAGCCAGCCGCCTCCCACCGTTAATTAACTCTGGAGAGCTGTCTGGGGGACACAGCAGCAAGGACGCTCTGCCTGCCCAGACTGGGCCAGTGGAGCAGTCAGTGATCAGTTCTGAGTTCTTCCCATTTATCACCGTGGCAGGAGCCAGTGTGCCTGGAATCTCAACCCTGAGTCTCTGGGCCCCTCGGCCACCCGGAGTCGGGCACAGTGGTGACAGGAACTGGGGCAGGAGGCCCTCATTGAGTCTGAGGAGGGAGGGTGTTCCTGGCACCCCACTCCCCTGGGTTATTAAACGCTGTGTAATCCAGGGGTGACCGCATAAGACCCCTGTCCAGCCTTCCCTGTGCCCACAGGCCAGCAGAGGGAACTATACACTGAATGAATAATCATCTAAAGGGAAAGAACAGGATGGCGTGAGATTGGGAAACTGCAGACTTGTTTAGGGCCTCCCCAAGGAAGTGACCGTGAACCTTCAAAGGGGAGAATGAAAGATGAGGGGTGAGAAGAGGGTGCCCCACACTTAGAAATAGCACATACAAATCCCCTGTAGCTGGAAAGGGTTTATTAGAGCCCTCACAGGCCAGGGGCAGCCTTCGGTGGTCAGGGGCCACAAGTGGAAGAGGCAGGCACAGTTTCCCCGGTGACCTAGGGGATGGCGGTGACGCTGCCTCCTTGCCCGGTGAGTCAGAGGGCAGGCTGGGTGGTCAGCTCCACAATTCTTTTGTTTTGTTTTTTCTTACAACTATTTTCCCCTTGGAGGATTTTTTCAAACCCACTCGGGCACGGGGATGAGTCAGGATTTCTCTGCCAACAAACAGCCGAGCGTGGCTGCTGGCACATTCACCCTGAACACCTCCACCCCCTCCACTGGCAGGTGGGAAAACCGAGGCCCCTGAGCAACAAAGACCACCCAAGGTCCTTCAGAGGGGGACTGTGAACCTGGCCCAGAGGGCAGGTGGGTGTCCAGGATCCCAAAAAAGACAGAAGTCCCACAGCAGCTGACTCTTCTGCTGGACCTCAAGCCCCAGGAGGACCCACGGCTGGATGTCCTGGTCACCACGTTGTCCCCAAAGCCCTGTAAATTTGTGGTGCTTAATCATTGATTTCAAAATGGACGGCCCAGCAGCTTTTGCAAACTCCCAGAAATCATGCTCAGGGCATCAGGGAAACAGGGGTCCTTTCTGATGGGGGATATGAGAGACAGGTACAGGGCTGCAGAGAGACAGAGGCAGAGATAAACGAACAGAGACATGGGCAAAAAAGGAGACAGCGATGGAGGCGGGGGGCCTGGGTACCAGGACCGGAGAGGCGGAGAGAGTGACAAGCAGGGAAAAGAGACAGAGACAAGGAGACAGGTGAGGAGAGAGAGGCGGCAGGGTGTGGGTCCCCACCAACCAGCAGGGGAGCCTTCGGGTGAATTACGGAAAGGCGCCCCTTCCCGGGGTCCTCTCGCCGCCCCAGCTGGGTGCTTTGTACAGTGAACAACCCCACCCACTGTCTGGGGCAGCTGGAGCCAGTGAGGGCCAGGCCCACAGAAGGCTCTCCACGGGTGCCCGCCGAACAGGTAGACAGGGAATGCCAGAACCTGGCCTGGAGTCACGGGGTGGGAGGGAGGGGGAGAGGGAGGGGGCGAGTGAGAGGGAGTGGGAGAGAGCACGGAAGGAGGGAGGGAGGGACAGACAGACAGACAGAGACAGAGCTGAGCCGAAGGGGGAAGTCTGTATGCCTGCAGCTTCTGTCGGAGTCACAGGTTCCTCCTGGGGCAATGCCTGGATTTACTTGCCACCCAGGAAAATGCTCCTTGGTATTCTGGGTGCATAAACCCAGTGGGCAGCCAAGGCAGGAGATGGCTCCTCCCCAGGACGCCCTGGGCCCCAGTGAGAGACTTGGCTGCCAAGTCTCACCCGAAACTCCTCACAGCCCAGACTTGCTGCCGGGGTGGAGCCGGGAGCCTGAGAGGCCCCGGGGTGGGGGGTGGGATTCCCCCAGTTTCACAGCCCAGGGAGGGGAGGCGGCTGGCTCGACGAGGTCCCCCAGAACAGGATTCAAAGGAAAAGGCACTCCTGGCAGAGAGAACAGCTTATGCAAAGCCCTGGAGGTGAGCAAGAGGCAAGGGTGAGGGGAAGGGCTTAGTTATGGAGTTTGAACTTCATTTTGTTTTCAAACACTTCATCCTTGATTAAATATACATTCAAAGATGGCCCCTCCATACCTAGTCCCAACCCGGGCAATCCCGGGGGCCCTAGAGGCAACTCCTCAGCCTGGGAGGACACACAGATCTCTCAGTTCCGAGGGTCAGGGGTGGACAAGAAGGAAGGATGGAGGCTGCAGGACCTGGATGCCATCTGGGAGAGAGTGGCAGAGGCCACAGGGAGGTGGGGCATTAGTGGTGGGCTGTGAAGATGGAGGGGTGCCCTGGCTGGTGCAGCTCAGTGGACTGAGCTCAGGCCTGGGCCTGCAAACCAAAGGACTGAGGTTCAATTCCCAGTCAGGGCACATGCCTGGGTTGCAGGCCAGTTCCCAGCAGGGGATGAACGAGAAGCAACTGTACATTGATATTTCTCTCCCTCTCTCCTTCCCTTCCCCTCTAAAGATAAATAAATAAAATATTTTTTAAAAAAGAAAATGTAAGGGTGTGACAGGTGACAAAGACGGATAAGGTCATTCTGTGGAGAGTATGTGCACATGCAAAGGTCTGGAAGTTTCTGAGAACAAGTGTCGGCCGGGAGCCAGGGTGTGTAGTGACACTGCCCGTCCCGAGTGGGCACGGCCATACCAGAGAGACAGGGGCAACAGAAGCCCAGAGGGAAATGGAGGCTCTTCTTAGAGGATCAGGTATGTCTTCAGGAAGGGGCATTGGAGCTGGGGTTTTGAAGGATGAATGGAAGCTCGCCAAATAGAGCTGGCAGGGCCTGCAAATGGAGCAGAAGGGCTATAGCCAGAATTCAAGAAATATGCTGATGGAGTAGCAGGAAAAATACGGGTCGGAGAAGTAGGGCAAGTCAATGTGAGATTTCTCCAGATCCAAGCTTGGCAGCCTGCCATTTAAGGCTAAGAAACCCCAGAACTGTCCCCGTCGGTCCCACCCAGCCCCCTTTAGGCCTGCTCCAGCTGCTGTCATCTCTCCTTCTCGGGTCCAGGCTGCCATCTAGTTTGGCCCAGGACACTTTCTACAATGTGACTCAGGGACCTCAGGTCAGGCCTGTGACTCAGCCTTCCCATCTGAAAAATGGAGACACCAAAAGCCGTTTTTGCTGTTTATGTTCATCTCAGGACTGGGAGGACTTCAACAAATAAATGTGAAGGAAGAGAAAACGAACAAAGGAAGAAAGGGAGGAAAGGAAGGATGAAGATGGAGGGGAAGCGGGAAGGAAGGAAGAAAAGAAAGGGAGGGAAGGAAAGGAAAAAGAAGGAAGATAGAAGGAAAAAGCTTTGTATCCTGCTTCCAGGCCAGTGCCAAGGGACGGGTCTAACATTATTATTTCAGAAGAAGCCAGAACTGTCAAGGCTTAAGAAATGAGTGGTGATTTGCATGTAATTTGCATTGCATTTGCATAGTGTTTGTTAAATGTGGAACTCCCTGAAAATGCTTTTCCTCACCCCCATCCCCAATTGAGAAGCAGGACACCCTCACACGTCCTCCACCAGGGCCCCCTGCTTGGGCTGGGGACCTCTCAGTTCCAGGAGCAGCACCCTGGAGGGAGGTGACCTTGGACACTCCATCTGTAAAGTGGGCCGTGATTAGGCCACCACGGCTGCTAGGTAGCACAGTTAGTGGTTTAGAGGAAACTGAGACCCCACAAGAGTGTGGCATAGGCCCCAGCAGGTAGTAGGGACTAAGGAAGAAGCCTGAGGTGCTTGTTAAGAGCCCTACTTTCCAACCCTGGCTGGTGTAGCTCAATGGATTGAGTGTGGGCTGTGAACCAGAGGGTCACCAGTTCAATTCCCAATAGGGGCACATGCCTGGGTTGCAGACCAGGTCTCCAGTGGGGGGCACATGAGAGGCAACCACACATTTATATTTCCCTTCCTCTCTTTCTCCTTCCCTAAAAATAAATAAATAAATAATTTAAAAAAAGAGCCCCACTTTTCTGCTGGGCCCTGGAAGGATGGGCCCCCGGGTGCACATATATGGGTGACCCAGTGACGGGAACCCAAACCTGGCGGGAGCAGGGGGTACAGGCTGCCCCCCCGCCCCCGGGTGTTCGGGAACCATCTCCAGCCTCAGTGTGCATCCCCTCTCCCTGTCTCTTCTCTCCGCCCCCTCTTGGCTGTCTGAGCTCACTATCCCCACAGCCATGAATTTTTATCTACCTTTCTCTTCTCTGGGCCTCGCAGCCAACAGAACTCTTAACTGAAACATTATTTCTTCCGTGGCTCCCGTGCCTCTCCCCTGCGCCACACCAGCACCTAGAGAGTGAATATGTTCCTCCAGGCCTTGCGAAGGGTGCTGTGTCCCCTCCCCACCAGCTTCCCTGGGTCTGTGCAAAGGACCCAAGGCCACAAGGCCACGAGGCCATAAGGCCATGTGACCGTAGATGAGAGATCCAACAGAGGCTCAGCTTGGGGGCAGTGGGGAGTGTCCCATTCCCAGAATGCCCACAATACACTGCCTGGCACGCTCCCAAGATTACCACCCATGATGCATGAGGCTCAGAGGCTGAAAGGCAGGGTGAGTGGCTGCAGCCATGACAGATCGACTCAAGTCACCAATGGTATGGAGTCTGGGGGCTGCAGGCTTGTCTGTGGCATTTGGGACCAGACAAAAATACGTTTTATTGTCACAATAAAAACAAGAGTGGGGTGGGAAAGAAAAGATTACCACCCATGCCTCAGCACTCTGCCAGGCACAGGGGCCCCCAGATACCTGCTTACTGGACCAGAATAATTCAGACCCAACTGGGAGACCCCATGCAGAGGACAGGGTGGTGAGGCATTACAAGGAGGCCACCTCCAAGGGTGTGGGCACAGACTGCAATGTGGGGAGGTGTTTGGGGGTGAGGGTGGGGGACACAGGGTGACGCTGAAAGCTGGGGGAGGGTGGGTGTCCCCCAGTCTCCACCTTAGTCATTGAGATTTCCTGAGTGACTGGTTGTACCCCAGAGTCAAGGCTGTTCACAGTAGAAGGGATTTGTGGGGGTCCGAAAGAGGACAGGGTGCTCACTGGCTGGGCAGGAGGGCATTCAAGAAGACTTCCTGGAGGAGGCTGGAATCCCAGGTGGGTTGGAGCCACAGAGAGGAGTGGGAAAGGCGCTTCAGGCAGGGGGCACAGCTTGGGCAAAGGTGTGGCTGGAGAGCAGGCAAGGCAGGAGAGGCGCCGCCCAAGCTCCTCTGCCCTCTCTGGGCTCCTCTTCGTAGGATACCCCCTGGCTGAGCGTGGGAGCCTCCGAGGTGGCACGGTGGTTCCCGCTGCAGACTGGGCACTCAAGGTCCCCAGGCGGAGCCCTGGTCTCAGGTCACACGGCACAGCCTGACTGGCTGGAGAGGCAATGTCCTAGTTCAGTTTCAGGGAGCAGGGCTCCGTCAGGAGTGTCTGAGGCATCAGCTGGTCAGGCCAGTGTTTCACTGTCCACCCAGAGCCTGGAACAGCAGGAAGGGGTAAGACAATCTTAATTCAGGCCCCCAGGAGGGTGAGACATCAGCTCTCTGGCTGGGTTTCCTTCTTCCCTTTTCCCTAATGTCCCCTCCCGAAGTGGACAGGAAACCCGCAGTCACTTCCTCCTTCCCCAGGGGCCTGGCGCTCACCCACAGAGATAAGAACGGCCCTGTAGCTACAGGTAGCCAGCCATTCTTAGAGGGAGCTTGGCTGTTTGAAGCCAGCTGGTAGAAGTCACAGGATTTCAGTCAAAGAGTACAATTGTAAGGAATGGGTACCAGAGCCCAGAGGGGCAGAGAGATCCACCTAAGGTCACACACCAAGTCAGGGAGCATCATTCATGTTACTTAGGAGCAACACACGTTAGTCTAAAGATAAGTGAGAAGGCAAGGGCAGTGTCCTTGCCTGAGGGGTGAAAGGCACAGGGGGTTGGAGTGTGGGGGGGACACTCAACAGCTGTGAGCCCATCCCCCCCTTTGGGCCTCATTTCCCCCCATCTCTGGCACCCACAACCTGGAAGGTCCCCGGAAAGACTTACCTCCCAAAGGTCTCCTGCCCCAGCCTGCTCCTTTAGCCAGCATCTTCGGTCTCCTCAGTCACGGCTCCACCTCCTCCAACCCAGACTACCTGCAGGAGGGGGACAGAAGGACACCAATTGCAGGCCAACACAGCCCTCGCCTCAGCACTCAAAGCCTCTCCCATCTGCTCAGTGTCCAGGTGATGCATCTTCCCACTTCTGCCAGGTCTTGCCTCCAGGTTCCAGATCTTTCCCTGCACTTCTGGGCACCGCTAGGGCTCCAGGAAAACGTTCTGGGCAGTCCCTTTCTCATGGCCACACAGTACATTTCGTAAATATTTACTGAACACCTACTATGTTCTGGGTTCTGAACTGGGAACACAGCAGTGTATATAGAATGAGCAACAATGCCCTCACAAAGTTTGCAGTCAGGTGAGGAAGATGGGGTGAAAGTTATAGAGAAGATATAGAGAAGTCAGGGGCTGCCGAGCGTCAGGGAGAAAGGTAACAACAGGAGTAGGGTGGGGAGTGATCATTTCCGGGTCACCGGGGAAGACTGCACTGAGGTGGCACCTGAACAAAGGCCTGACAGAGCTGAGGGAGACAGGGAGGAATGTGGACAACATTCCAACCTGACAGTAATCAGGTGTTTGGTTTCATGTCTCTCTCCCCCACTGAACTGGCAGTGGGCTCCATGAGGTCAGGCCTGGTCTGAGTCTCCACTGGGTCCCACTACCTGGCACACAGTAGATACAAAATAAATACTGACTGCATACTGGACAACAATTACGGTGTGTGGACATCTGTGGGTTGTCCAGCTGCCAGACATTGTAGGAGAGGATGCACTGCCAACAGCGCCTGCTCCCAGTCCCAAGCCACAAGCTCCTATGGGTCACCACCCCCCACCGTCTCCCCCTGCCCCCCGAGACCTTCCCTTTGATAGCCTGGGGAGGCAGGCTCTCCCCCCACCCACCTCGCCTCTTCAGGAACAGCATCTGAGGCTCCTACTCTCAAAATATCACAGCAGGTGTGGCAGACCAAGCCTCTGTGGCCTGGCACGCATGGCCCCTCGTAAATGCCAGGACTACACGTGTGGTTCTGGTGTGTCCCTGCCCAACACCTCCAGGGAGGCAGCCGGTGCTCTGGGACCAGCCCTGGCCCAGCTCCCCCACCTCATGGCCCGAGTCGCCAAGCACCAGCCTCTGCCACCCCCCAGTGCTGCCCCAGGCCTTGGTGTACGCTCTTCCCACGGCCCCTCGTGGGTCACCTTGGCCAGGACTCCAGATGGCCAGGTCAGAGTGTAGGCAGCAAGTGTCGGGATGGGACTGTGGCGTGGGCAGATGTGCTGGGAGAGCTGAATGAAGAAAGAAGGACCAGAGACTCAGAAAGACAGAGACGCAGAGCAAAATAGAGACAGAAATGCACACAGAGAGACGTAGAGAGAGACAGAGAGAAAACAGCAGAGATGGAAATGGACAGAGCCACAGAGAAGACAGAAAGAGTGACAGGACATGAAATGGACAGCACAGCACCACTGAGAGGGAGAGCAAGACAGAGAGGTCTAGAGAGAGGCAGGGGCCGCCAGAGAGAAGCCCCGGGGAGAGAAGAAGGGAGCAGGCAGGAGGCAGCCAGCCACCCTCCCCGTCTCTCAGTGCCGGCCCCTTCCATCCCTCTCCTTCCGCGGGCACACATACCAGTAGTGCTCAGACCCTGGGAGGAGGCGTTCCAGGGGGCAAGAAGGACCCCTAGTCCAGTCTGCCGCCCACATCCCGCCGACCCACACCCCAGTCAACCCCTCTTTGTGCCCGGCCATCCGCCCCCTCCCCCAGCCCCAACTCACTCCCACCCACCACCCCAGCAGGCCCTCCTGTTCCCTGCCACCCTCTCCCACCCCTTACCCACTCTCCACCCAGGACGGCAGCCAGGCCCTCCTACACCCTGCCAGCCCGTCCTCCCAGAACCCTGTCCCAATCCCGGTCCCTGGCCACCTGGAGTCACTGACGAGCAGCAGCACGGAGCCGTCCTGTAGGCACACGTCGCGCACCGTCTGGTGGTCGTCCAGTCTCCGCGCGTTGTAGTAGAAGGTACGCTTCCAGGAGCTCACACCCTGGCCCACCAGCTGGGCGCGCAAGTCGCTGAGCGTGTCACGCGGCCGCACCGTGAGCGGCAGCAGTAGCGCTTCATCCGCCAGATGCACCTTGATGTGGTAGCGCTTCCAGCGCGACAGGCCCCGCCGCAGCCCCTCCATGGCGCCCGCCGGGAGCTCCACACCCGGCCAGGCCACTAGTGCCCTGAGCACCCGCCCGACAGGCCTAGCCGCCCGCCCCCGCGGCGCCCCGCCCTGCCACGCCCAGTGTGCTTGAGGGAGGCCCAGCGAGGGCGGGGCGTGCAGGGAGGGCGGACCGAGGGCCCCTTGCCCCCACCTGCAGACAACCCTCCATTTATGCACAGATGTTAAAAGTGCCTACTGGAAGCGCCATAGCTGCAAACAAAACCTGCAAAGAGGAGACACATCGTAAAGATAATACTTGAATACCAACGCATCCTATCATGGGAAGTGCTAGGAGAGAAAAAGGAGGAAGGAGATTGGTGGTTCCCTTGGACAGAGATCAAGGTCAAGAGAGATCTTTCTGGGGAGGTGACATTTGAATTGAGTTCTGAAGGTGAGAAGCAGTGAGCCAACCACACAAAAAGTTATGGATCGCGAGTACTGCACATGAGGCGGGAATAGCCAATGCAAAGGCCCTGGGGCAGGACCATGCTTGGTGGCTGGGGGAACAGGGAGGAGGCCCTGGTGTCTGGAGCACAGGGAGAGAGAGGAAGGAAGTGAGGTCAGGAAGGTGAGGAGGGGCAGGTCATACAGGGCTGTGTGGGCCTTAGGGAGCACCTGGGCTTTTTACCCAGAGGGAGGTGGGAGCACTGGAGGGCTGTGGACAGGGGGAGGTAAGTGACTGAGGTTTATTTTCATCACTCACTCATTTACTGCCTTATTTCCTTCAAGACACATTCAACAAGCATCTACTCTGTGTTGTCTGGGCCAGGCTGGGCAATGCTGGGCACCAGATTGCAACCTAACACCCTGCCATCAAGGGTCTCCTAGTTGAGGGTGGGGCACACAGAGCTGGGCACAGACACTCCCAGCCTGTGAGATCAGGGCCCGAGTAGGAGTGGAGACCCCAGGCTGGAAAAGGTCAGCATGTGGGGATGGCTTCCCACATAGGTAGGCATTGGAGCTAGGGCTTTGGCAGATGAATAGGAGTTCAACACTCCCACCAAGAAGACACCTGCCTACAGCCACCAACTGTATAGTTCAGTGGGTGCCTAGTGGGGAAAAGCAGGAGTTAGGGCTCGTGGTCAGTGGCAGGCTTGTGAGCAGGGGCTCTGCCACTCCCAGTTCCATGCCTCCCTCATGCTTGCAAACCCTTTCTCAGTCCCCTCTCGCTTTTCCAGTCACACTTACGCAAGCGCCCTGTTCCCGAAAGCCTCCCCTGATTGCCACCTGCCCATGCCCACTGTCATAGCCACCAGGACAGGACTGACCAGTTCTGGGTACCCAGGATGCTGGTTTAACCTCAATGATTCAGCCTATACTTAGAAGCCAATTAAGATGGAGCCCACATCAGGGCAGTGGACAGTGTATGGGCTCTAACCCTGACCCCTGGAAGTCTCTCAGGAAGAAAGTCCCTGAGACCTCCATGTGTCACACATCCAGTGGGGTGGTTATGAGGTGAAATGACTGAGGGTAGAGCACCGTGAAATGCTCCTGAAGCACAGCAGCCTGCTAATTGGCTGGGCTGAGGGTCTTCAGTTTGACTGCAATTTGTGCAGTTTGACTCTCAAAAAAAAAGCAAATAAAAAAATAATAATTAGTAAGTATGAAAAGCACCTGCTAAGTGACAGATGGTCTTCTAGGGACTTGATTGTGAAAAACAGAATGTGTCCTTTAATTATCACATGACACTATTATCTCCCATTTTACAGATGAGCAAACTGAGGCAGAGAGGGGATAAATGACTTCCCTGCCAATCCACAGAGAAAAGTGGCAGGGCCAGGATTCGGACCCTAGCCACCCGGCTTCAGCACTCCTGCTACTGTCCGCTGCCTACGCAGCTTCTTACACAATCAGCTTTCACGTAGAGATTTTGAAGGTGACTAAAAGCAAGTTACAGATGGATTTGCCCTCCCAGAATAAGAGGGAGAGAGAGAAAAACTATAAAAGTACTACAAGAAAACATGGGAGTCAAAAATAATAACCCTAGTTTCTTAAAGCCTGACATGAAACCCTGAAGCCTTTAATTAAAAGATTAATGACTGACTACCTGCAAACAGAAAATCCTCGCACACACACATACAAACACTAAACGGTCAACAGACAAAGTCAGGGAAACTCTTGCAAGACTGATCGACAAGAGGCTGATTTCCTTTACATCTAAAAACCTTCCAAAAGTCAATAAGGACCAACAGGCCAATAAAAAAAGAGGCAAAAGACAAAATACAAGTGTCTTCTAAACACACAAGAGGAAGCTCCTTTCCACTCATGGTCAGCTAGATAGAAAACAAAACTACCATGAAATACCTCTTTAAAACTAGATCTATTGGGTAGCTGAAGATGAAAAAGTTGGATAATTTGCCGTGTGCCCGGGGTGTTGGGAAAACAGCCATCTCACACCTTGGGGTTTGGAGTGTGAAACGGCGTAATCTGAAAATAGCTATTGGCACGGTAAACTAGCTCTGTCCCTTGGGAACCTACCCGTGGGCCCAAGGGCAGATTATGGCACAATGCGTGTACTGAGCAATTTACTTGCAACCCACAGCGAAGCAGGAGGCTAGCTCGTTGAACAAAGGAGGAAAACTGAGGCCCACAGGGGGAAGCAGTAGAATGAGGGTGTGCACTCTCTCCAGGGAAGGTGAGCGGGCTGGCTCCACCTGCACAACCAGGTCAGCACGGCCCGGCCAGCGACCTCCCTTATCAGGCTAAACTGCAGGCCTCACGTGTCACACCTGTTGGTATCTAGAACAGATCAGAGCAAGGCCCAGGGACACTTGGCTTTGACATATGGAGGCCAAGCCGGCCACACTGAGCCCTGTGAGTGTTGGGTGCCAGTTCCAATTAATTCTGACTTTCTCATTAAGCTGTTAGGAAAAGCCAGGTGGCTGTGGGCAGCAGGCCCTCTGCCTGGGCTGCTGGATTGAAGAAATCATGATTTCCGCCCGGAGACACTATTATCTGTCATGGGCAATTATGGAAGAGCCAGGCGGACAGGGACAAGCTAGAGAGTCCCTGAGTTCTGAAACCTGGGAGGTTCAGAACTGTGAGAATCACTGAAATTGCTGACTCCCAGCACCTTGGAAGACTTGGTGTTCTAGACCCTCAGAATATTTACCCCTTCTCATGAATATTCTACAATCAAGGCCTGGCTAGTATGAGGGTCAGGGTTCCGAGTGGTAATCAAAACGCATCACTTCTGGCTGTCTTAGGGGCAAAGGGATGTTGGGGAAGGCCCTGAGGGAGTTCATAGAATCCATGGGTAGTGAGAACAGGTTTTAAAAAGGGGGTAGAGCCTTGGGTCCCCCAAGGCAGAAGGGATACTACAGGCAGTTAGGAAGGGAGGGCAAGTGCTCTGCCAGTTTGCCTCTACATATGACATAGCCAATGAACTTGACCAAATTCTGGAATCACAGGTGTTTAGCTTTTTGTGACACAAAGATTTCCTATTAGACTTGTTCCCTTGGGCCAGAGGTGTCTCAAACTGCAAGCCAAGAGGCCCACATAATGATTGGGTTTTTTTTTAAATCTTTTTAAAAAAAGATTTTATTTATCTTTAGAGGGGAGGGGAAGGGAGAGAGAGAGAGAAACATCAATGTGTGGTTGCCTCTCATGCATCCACCGCTGGGAACTGGCCTGCAACCCAGGCATGTGCCCTGACCGGGAAGTGAACCATAGTTGCTTGGCTCACTGGCCTGTGCTGAATCCACTGAACCACACCAGCCAGGGCTGTTTTTCAAAGAATTGGTAAATTCTTTAGAATTTAGCTTCAAAGCTAGAGGTCCAATGGGCTCCCAGTCCACATGGTAACTGCTGTGGATGGCACGTGAGTCCCCTACTGTCCCTACCAGGCCCGATGCTCTCCCTGAGCACCAAAGGGTTTGCCCTCTCTAGACTAGTAATAGCACGTACTTTGTATTCTCATTTTGATGCAGAAAGTGAGTCCCTTGGCAGTGGTTTGCCGAGGTCCACCCAGGGAAAGGCTGAAAAGGTTTTAGAAAAAGCACATGATATTCCTCCATGCTTTCCAATCAGTTACCCCACTGGGTCCCTGTCACCAACCCTTATGAGGTCTGTACTTTTGTTCTCCCATTTCTCAGGAGAAAAAAAGGAAGTGTCCCCAAAACCGCACAGGAAGATGGAAAACAGCCCCTTGAACGTGGCAGGAATGAGTTAGCAGGAGTGCTGGGATGCCTCTACCTGGTTTAGTACCAAAAGGAGAATGTGGTGTGGAAAGGGTGGCTTTGAAAGGGACATGGGGAAGTTTAGATTTTCTCTTAAGGGGAGGGTTTGAAACAAGGGAGGGGCATGGTCTAAGTTATATGTTAGAAAGGTCCCTGACAGCATGTGGTCTATTTTAGATGAATAGAGTAATCCTTAGGGAAGAAAGGCCTTGTCTTGGGTCACAGCACTTTCTTTTCTTTTTTTTCCTCCCCACCTCCCACAGCACTTTCTTCATAGCTACTACTTCTTGGGTCTATGTGTCCCACCCCAGGGAAACTTCATAAGGAATTTATTGCTAGGACATCTGGCCAATGAGGAGTCATGGTGGTCCCTTTTGATAAGTTATGTTATTGCACTCTAGCTCTATTAGAAACAGGCTATTTGCTAGCAACATGTTCAAAAGTGGCGTCTTCATATATAAAGAGTTGCGAGAAATAAATAAGAACAGAGAGAAACATGCAAAGAAAATGAATGCCACTTTGAACACACAGAAGACATAGGTGGGCAATCAAAAAATAAAGACTCACATGAGACAGTGTTTAGCCCCCTAGGATTCTCCCCACTGTAATATTCAAGAGATCTGGTAATACTGGTATTAAATTCTGTGAGGGTACAAGGCAATGGCACTCACCTCTGTTGCTGGAATAGGTACCATCTTTTTGGAAGGTAGAACAGCAAATTGTGTTGGAAGCCTTTGATGGATAATAATTAACTATAATGACTCACCTTTGTCGAATGACAAATCAACTTCATTTATTATGTTTTTTTCCCACTAGAGCACAAGCTCCTGAGGCAGAGATTTTTTTTGTCTGTTTTGTTCACTGCTGAGTCCCTGATGCCTGGAACAGCACGTAGTTCTAATGTGTACAGCCAGCACAATCCCATCTACTCATTCCGCTGTACACTGCCTTTGGAACCACGGAGCTAGGCCAAGAGGGTAGTTTTGTGCAGATATCTGAGAATCCGTCTCATTAGGTCTTTAAAGCAACCCTCATAATCTGAGCAGTGAGTGGAGAATTCTCAGGGGCTCCCACTGACCCATGGGTTAATGGATGTGCTTGTAGCTATAAGGGTTAAATGAGATGATTTCTGACACATACTGAGCCTTAGGCTGTACCAGGCACGGTTCAAAAAGCTTTTCAAAACTCAGCTCAATCACTGAACAGCAAAACTATGAGGTAGATGCTAATATCAGGTCCATTTTACAGATAAGAAAACTGAGTCGACAGCATGAAAGTTAGCCCCCCAAGCTAGGGCCTGGCTCACAGCAGGTACTTAGGTTTAGTAGAACCTAAATCTTGCTCAGTCAGCTCCGTGAACTCCTGTTCCTGTCTCCCTAGGGAATATTTTCTTGGGGACCCCATGACAGACTGGGCATCTGTAGGTGCTCTATAAATGCTTCAGTTCTCGGATTCCTGGGGTGACTCAACGCATAGCTTCCAGGGAAGGTGAATAGAGAAGGTAGTGGCAGGTTCTTGTGGGTATGAATACACATGCAGAGTCATTCCTCCTCTCCAGACACACATAAGGACACATGTAAACATATACTCTGAGACACACACACTTCAAAACTGGCACACACAGACCAAAGCAAACTCAGCCCAAAATAAGCACAGATATGAACACGAGACATGAACACACAGCCGGGGGCTTTGGCCTGGGATGTCAGGTTAGGGAGGCTCCCTCTGCTCCAGCTTCCACCTCCGTCCCTCATCCCAGGGCCTCCTGGTCAGGCTGTGTTGGACTTGGGCTTCAAAAGGGGCTGAGCAGGGCTGGCTGTGACATGGTGTGTGGCTCTTGGGCGCCACCTGGAGGACACAGGGGCCAAGGGTATGGCGGTTCAGGGGCTCAACATCTACAGGGGTGTCTGGGTCCCTCTGTGTGTTAACTGCTTTTGTCTCTATTTGCATCTGTGTGTCTCTATTTGCATCTTTGTTCTTCTAGACGAGCCAGGTCTAAATTAGGCCTGTCCCCCAGTGTTTGTCTCCTCGCTTCTGTTTCTTTTCTTTTTGTCTTTTTCTCTGCAGCTCTGTCTCTTCTTGGGATTTCCATCTTTTTCTTTCTCCCCCTGGAAGCCTCTCCCCACCTCTAGAGCCCAAGGCCTCTTCCAAAACTGCCAGGCGCCCTCAATCACCCCTTCCTGTAGACCCCTCGTATTAGCTGCATCCTCTGTGCTCTGTCTCCAATGGCATCATCCTGGCATTTCCTGCCACCCATGGGCTGTTGCTATGACGCGGTGACTCAGTCCAGGTAGGGCATGATGACCAACCTCATCAGCTCTGCCAGTCACACTTCCCTCCTATGTTCTGGTCTTTGGAGAGGGGACCTCATGCCTGGAGGAACACGGGGTCTCCCTGCTCTGCCTTTGTCTAAATAGAACCTGGCCCATGAGCCCGCCTTGGCTTACCCCTTTCCCAGGGCTGGCTGCTGCCAGCTCCCTGAGGGTGGCAAGAGCTGGCTGCGTGCAGGGAGGGGGTGCTGGGACTGTAAAGTATTTGGACCCATAAGCAAGAATGCCCCAGAGAGAGGGAGAGAGAGAGAGAGAGAGAGAGAGAGAGACAGTGATGGTCACCCTTGAACCTTGCTAGAAGGGCAGGGATCTCCTCTCAAATAAAAATGCACCATGCCTGGCTGGATAACTCAAGTTGGTTAGAGCTTCTTGATCTACCAAGGTTGTGACTTTGATCTCTTGTTAGGGTACATACAAGAATCAATCAAATTGATGTTTCTCTCTTTCTTCCCCTTCCTATTTGAAAAAAAACAAACAAAAACCATCCCCATCACCTACTAGCTGGTGGCCTGATCCCTGACCACCCAGACCTGGGAGTCCACTCTGCCTGACCCCGTAACTCCCCTGCCTCTGCTTGCTCTGTTCCTCTGGGGTGCCACACCATTTCCTTCCTGGGGGCTACTGTGCATTCTGTTCCCTCTCCCAGAATTCCCTTCCTCCAAGAAGCCAGTTTTACTCCACCCCCTCCTCGACATCATCTGTTGAGCTGTAAAGAGAAGGTCTGTCTCACTTATGGTCATGGCTGTATCCCTGGCACAGAGCCTGGCACACAGAAAGTGCCCAAAGGCATGTTTGCTGCCCAAAGAAGTGTTTGCTAAGTGAATGGGCCAGAGAAGGCTCAGAGGCATGCTCTTGAGCCTAGATCTTTGATCTTGCCTTGCTGGGGCTGGAAGGGTGCTTGGCCAAATGGGCTTCTTCCCGCTCTGTGCCCTGTTTTTTCAGAGACGTGGTAAAAAGACTTTTTCTGGGATGCTTGTGAAATCTACCCTGCTGGGTCTCATTTCAGCTGAGTCTGTAAATATCTGGTCTGCCGAGGCTGGCAGCATCTACACAGGAGAAGCTTCAGTGCCTTTTATGAGCCTCCCTGTGGGGCCTAACGCAAGGTTTCTGTGGCTGGGTAAGTGGGGCGCCCCAGCAATTTAACAGCGGGTTGGCATGGGGTGGCTAAGACTGTAGGACTGGAAGAAGTAGCGAGACATCATCAGCGGCTCCCAGCACTTAACCCTGCAGTGTGAATCATCCAAGAGACCAAACCCGGGCCTCTGGATTTAAAAATTGCTAATGCAACATCATAGATTACAGTTATGATGGACATGGATGCCAAGCAGACCTCTTCCCCAGATCCGAAAACCACAGTGAATCCTTAGAGGGAGAGCTTTCCGACCATGAGGCAGAAGGCCTAATTTAGACCTGGCTCGTCTAGAAGAACAAAGCAACTACAACCATTTGCTCAGCAACTACTACCTGAAGATACACTTTAAATGCATCATCACTTCACATCTTTGGAATCACCCTGCCCATTTTACGAAAAGATTCAGAGGGGTTCAAGGTTGGCAGGTGGTGAAGGGCAGAGCTCGGATGGGAACTCTCCTGCCTAGCTTGGTCTCAAGTCACCCAACCATCATGGAGGCCTCCCCAACCAGGCTACCACCCCAATGCTTCTCAATCATCAGGATCCCAGGAGTGGCTGGAGGTAGGGCCTGGATCAAATCGGCAAGTCTGAGTTGGGGCCTGGACACCTGCATGTTAAAGCAGCACCTCCCTCCCTCAACCCTCAGGTACCTCTTGCTGGCTGTATTCCTCCTTTCTCAGTAATAGCTGCTGTACTACTGCACGCATCCAAATGTGTTTGCAGTGCTCCTCCTGAGTCTCAGCAGCGATTGCCTGCCACCTGGTGTTTGCTGAAGACACTGGAAGGTGCAGGTGGTTCCATCACTTTAAACTAGAGAAATTTTCTAACAGGCCTCAAAAAGACCCAATAGGCCATACAAAGGGATGAAACAATCAGAAACCTTTAAAATACAGTATCATATATTTTCTTTCTTCTTGTCATAAATTTGGCACACATTTACTGTGTCTACTACATTCCAGGTGTATTGGCCATGTCTTTATTTTCTGGTTTTTGATGCTTTGACATCTAGTCCTTATCCTGGTTCACCAAGGTAGGGATGGTCTTATTTACAGTGGAGACCCTGCCCCTCAACCTGCAAGCCAGTTAAAAGGCACCCACCCCACTAACCATGACTTTGTGACTGTGTTTTTTTTAATCAAAAGCCCTTTTAGTAATGTTGCATCTGAAATTTTTTGACTAAAAGTAACACATGTAATGCAAGCCTGGCTGGCAATCACCATGCAGGTGAGGGAATTCCTACAAAGTAAGAAAATTTAACCTAGAAGCTGTTTTGAAATACAAAGAAATCTTTATGGTCCCGGCTGGTGTAGCTCAGTGGATTGAGCACTGGCCTGCAAACCAAAAGATTGCAGTTCAGTTCCCAGTCAGGGCACATGCCTGGGTTGCAGGCCAGTCCCCAGCAGGGGATGCACAAGAGGCAACCATATATTGTACTTCTCTCCCTCTCTCCTTCCCTTCCCCTCTAAAGATAATAAAATCTTTAAAAAAATCTTTATGAATACAAAAGTTAACAGATCATGAAGTTGACATATTTGATAAAGTATTAATTCTGATTTTACAGTAGTTTTTTGGTATTTGGGAGCCAATAAATTCTCCCCTCCTCCTTGCTAAGCCTCACATTTTACTAATCTCCTGTAGAACATGGGCATTCTAGGCCCTATTCCTACAAGGCCTCCCAGTGCCTGTCAACATTAAGCACTTACTGTATGCCAGGAGCAATTCTGAGCTTTATATTAACTGATTTACTCACAGCAAAGGCCCTCTACGGTAAATACTATTATTATTCTCTTCTTCCAATTAGGAAAGCCAAAGCAGAGAAAAACTAATAACCCCCAGTGGGCAGGGCAGGTGGGCAAATTCTAGGCTACATCTGGTTCCTGAGCCTGCCCTCCCCACTTATACCCCAGTGGTTCTCATTCTTGATACTTAACAAACCTCCACCTTTTTGTTGTTTTTTTCAGACCTCCTACCTTTAAAATTATTCTATTTTTTAAAAAGATTTATTTCTCTCTCACTCTTTCTCCTACCAGTCCCCCCTCTCTAAAAATAAATAAGTAAATAAATATTTATTTTAGAGAGGAGAAGGGAAAGAAACATCAAAGTGTGGTTGCCTCTCACACGCTCCTCACTGGGGACCCAGCTCACCACCCAGACATGTGACCCAGACCAGGAATCAAACCAGCTACCCTTTGGTTTGCAGGCTGGCACTCAATCCATTGAGCCACATCAGCCAGGCCTAAAATTATATTTTAAAACTGTGATCAAATATACATGAAACGTAATCACTTGTAGGTGCACAGCTCAGTAGCATTAAGTACATTCACAATTGTGCAGCCATCCCTACCATCCGTCACCGGAACTTTCTCATCTTCCCAAACTGAAACTGTCCCCACTGAACACTAACTCCCATCCTCTAGCTCCCTGGCTCAAACACCTACTTCTTGTCTCTATAGATTTGACTTCTCCAGGGACCTCATCTGAGTGGGATCACACAGTGTTTGTCCCTTTGTGACTGGCTTATTTCACTGAGCATAATGTACTCGAGAGTCATGCACGTTGTAGCAGAGGTCAGAATGTCTTTTCTTTTTAAGGTTGAATAATATTCCATTGGCTAGATGAATATATGCCCGCTAGGATGGCTTTTATGAAATAACAAACAAAAACACATAATAACAAGTGTTGGCAAGGGTGTGGAGAAACTAGAATGCTTGTGCATGGCTGGTGGGAATGGAAAATGGTGCAGCTGCTGTGGGAAACCATTGAGTGCTTCCTCAAAAATTAAACAGATTCACCACCTGATCCAGCAATTCCACTCCTAGGTGTCCACCCAGGACAAAGGCAAACGCACACACCTGTCCTCATGGCAGCATTACTCAAGGAGCCAGAAGGTGGAAAAAAGTGGACCGCTCACTTGCAGCCCCTTTTTATAATAAATATTGTTCCACCTCCCTTTCCTCTCCTAAAATAATCAGAGCAGATATAACCTAACTACACGCAACTTAAAAAAAGAATGACTCAACCTATCAGGTACAGAAGAAATAGAACGAATGTCTGATACTGTCTAACCCAACCTGAGAGTGAACATGGTGGTGAGCACCTACCTACTGAGATGGAGCCAATCAGACGGGAGTCAGCAGGGAGGTGATGACACCCCAGCAGCACTGCTCATAGAGATGGTGACCAATTCTTGGTTAAGATTCTGGACTGAATGAGTAACCCTCTCAATTTACCCAGAAATTGCATCCCTAGTAAAATCTGTATGTATGAAAACTGTAGAGAGTAACACTGGGGGGGAGGGGACTGTGTCCCCTCCAATTCATATGTTGAAGGACCTCAGAATGTGACTTGATTTGGAGATAAGGCCATTACATAGGTAACATATGCTCATCAGGGTGACCCTAATCCAGTATGACTATGTCCTTACAAAAGAGGTAAATTTGGACACAAACAGAGGCTGGGTGAAGGAGGCAGAGAACAAGCCAAGAACACCGAAGTCAGCCAGCTACCCCCAGAAGCCAAGAGAGGACTATGACAGATTTTCCATCATGGACTCAGGAGGAACCAGCCCTGCTGACTCCTTGATCTTGAACTTCTGGACTCCACAACTGGGACAGAATAAATGTTTCAAATCACCTAGTTTGTA